AGCACAACACCGCCATGATCGCATCAGACCTGCGGTACAGTGTGTCACTCTTCTCCTGCTAGGACTGCGGCGAATTCGGGTGGAATATGCCCGCCGCATTGAAGCCTGGAAGCAAATGCAGTTAATCATGGAGCAGTTGCGGGTTCCAGAGGTGGTGCCGCTCGAGGCCCCGCCCGCGGATGATGAAAGGCCACCTTCCATACTGGACGCATGGTTTGACACACCGCGCGGCCACACCACGGCCCGCGAACTGCGTTGGTTAGCCCCCGGCCTATCCGTGCTAGCCGCCCGCATCAAAACAGAAGTACCTGCATGTCGCCTTTCCCCCCACAGCATCCGGGTATGTGCCGCCTCCCATCGGGTCCCTATTACTTTCAACGGACAGCCAAATTGGGCGGATGCTTGGCCCCCCTTTGACCAGATGAAAATGGCGCTTCGGACCCCTTGTACGTGTCGCCCCGCGCAGCCGGATTCCATCTCCTACTGCTGGACGTGTGGGGGTGTCCAGCTTCCTCCTGCTGTTCAGCCGCGGGATTGCCCCTTCTGCCACCGCGGCGATGGGGGATCCCAGTGCCGTAACTGCGGTTGCGCTGTTCATATCATGGGACAGTGTGCTTGGAACCGCGGGGCCAACCGCTGCTACCAAGCAAGTGCTCTGGATGCGATTTCCCTGTGCCCGGACTGTTGGGGTGTTTGGCGCTCGGCTCTCCTAGCTTCGCCGAGACGCCCGGCCAGGGCAACTCTACCACCAGGCAACCTCCTCAATCACTTGATGCAATTGTCTCAACAACGACAGGCAGGAGCTGGTGCCAGCACTTTCCACGCACGGGATGGTGAGCGTCAACGAGTCCGCAGATGGTGCCTGCGAGCCCTCCCCCGGGACTGGACTGCCTTCCCCGACCTCCTTCAACATGCGGAACGGCACCTCACCGATGTGACCAACATAGAGGCACTGTTACGAGACGGACTTCGACACTGGCATCGACGGGGGCACGCGGACACCCAGGTAGCACTGGGAGTATTGCATTTTAGACGACGCCCACCCACATGAACAAACCGCTTAGCCTTCGCGACATGCGCATGCTTGCTCTTGGAGCTAACATCGTGGATGCAGTCCATGTAGGATTCTCTCCGGCTGGGGGAGCGCTACATGGGGCATCGAAGTATAGATCTGCAACTCAACCTCGCCGCTTCCCGCAGCCGTTTGGTTTCCGTTGACGTTGGGATAGTTTGACATAGGCGGGGCCTTATGGCGGCAGCCTCCTTGCTGAGAGTGTTTTTTTTTTTTTTGGTTTTTGTGCACATGGTGCCCAGACATGCACACAGACTCCACCTGCCATTTACTTCACCAGCAGTCACACACGCATGTCGCTGCACTCGCCTTTCATATGGTTGGCGGCGAGGCCTCGGAGTGGACAGGCAGATGTTACAACGCACAGCTTGGGGACCTTGCGCGGGAATCGTGCATGGGAAGATTTCGACGGATTTTCTTTCAAGTGCTTGGAGACAGTCCTCATGGAAGTCTGCGCCCCACAGCTGTGACGAAATATCTACCGTATCGTGCAGTCTTACAGCTTAGGCTGAGTATCGCAGGTGATGAATACCGATCTGCCATAAACGTACCGCCGCATGCTCCCATGCTGACAAGAAGTCTTTGAAACACGTTGCAGGCTGAAAAACCTGCGCATCCCTGACGGCGGCGGCGCACTGATTGGCATTGAAATTAATCACTACAGGTCATTTGATCAGGACAGGCTTCTCAGCACTGCCCGATCAGAGACGTCAATGACGCCGATGCGTATTCTCACGACGTCCTCCTGCCCTTAACCTGTTGTAGTCGTGCGTGGTTACCTCAGGGGATTCCTACGTTCGGCGGAGAGGCAGTCTACTCAAGGGAAGACATTGACAACGGGACGAGATTGCAATGGTTACTGGTGTGCCTTGTGATGTAGGAGGCCGGGCTGAGGGAGCTTGTGCTTTGGCATGGTTGTTACGAAGTCTCGTTTGCTTTCTTGTCTTAAGGGTTAAGGGTGATAAGCTGACAGATGCTCTTTCGCATCACAGCTCAGAGCATGGCTAGTGAAAGTCGCGATTACGGGATCACACAGCACCATATTTCCGCTGCATTTGCGTATATTTGCATTGATGCCGGGAGCTGAAGAGCGCAGCGGTCGTGGCTTCAATCGCTATGATTCCCAAGACCTTTAGGACTGGTAGGCCTTCTGCATGTAGGTTCGGAACAGGGTTGCTGGGATCTATGCTCACAGGACTGCGCGCTGCAAATTTTTAGGCGCCTCAGCAGGTTATCCAGAAGCAGAGTGCAACCTCAGGGTAGTGAGGTTGCAATGAACGCCGCATTAGAGGGTTTTCTCGCAGCCCCGGCGACTCCGGGACATTATCACGTGCCAGCAGATTCAGATCAGATTGTATGCCTGCAGCCACGAGACACGCAGTCACAGGCATTGGATGACTGTATCCAAGTCATCTGGTCCCATCCACATTCCACGAGTTTTCTGACTGTGTCCGTCGTGGAGCGCCACTGCACTCCGGATTGGAAAACGATTGCACAGTTTGCTGAGGATGTACATTCCTGCAGATCAGAGCTTTCAGATCCCCGCATTTGCTCCGACTGTTGGTCTCTTCCCACTTCCATCGTCTTCCTGCTACTGCCGCTGCTGCATTTGCTCTGCTTCGCATGGGGCCATGACGCTTGCGGAGCCCCATGCCCCGTTTGCGTCTTAACCCTCCGGGGCGGAGACAACTCGGGTGCCCGTCTCCTTGCCAGGAGTCGACCCCTCTCTCTCTCTCTCTGTCATCGGTGTTGCCAGCTTCACCAGCAGCATCACCTCCATCATCAAACCACACCACACCAATCACATCGGCACAAGCCACAGCTGTATTTTGGCTCAAACCATTGCGGCACAAGCTTTTGGCCCGCAAGGTTCAGATTGGTTTCGGCGGGATTCACCTTCAGCAGCCAGAAGAATTTCCCAGAGGATTCGTTCCTGCAACTGCTCCCTCAACTGCATCCACTTCCGACAACTGTCCCTCCGCTGCTCTTGCTGCGCCTTTGGCGAATGAGAATGATGAGTCTGAGACGCATGCAGTGCCACCTGTCGGAAGACACACCAAGGCTCTCGAAAGGCCCCTTGAGGAATTTGCGATTTCGGGTCTAAGACTTTCGGGTTTAGGATGTGCGGACTGAAGGTGCTGGTGAGGATGAGAGCTGTGCGCTGGCGAGCGCAGCGGAGATAATGCGACTCGTGAGGAGCAAGCTCAAAAATGCATCAAACTAACCAAGCAAACCGTTCGGAATGACACATTGAAGCTCACGAAACCTCGCGCCTGCCAAGATATTTCGAGCTTTCCAGCCCGTCCAGACAAAAACCTCAAGGCTTACTAAATGGATTTCGCCCTGGATTTACGCTGTCTGACTACACGTCTGCACGCCTCTTCCAGGTGTGAAACTTAACATTTCATGTTGCTGGTTTCCTTGAATGCATGCTTCCCATGAGCCATCCTTGAATCCGTTGTGCTGCCTATCCAAAACCTTGAGTCAGCTAGGCATGCAGTGAAAACAATCCCTTCGGATGTGCGTTGCCGTGACTGGTGTTTGCTTGGTTTCCTTCCGACACAGGCGCTTGAAGCATCATGAACACCTCAACTTCCTCGATACAAGACGCTCCTTCGAGTATTTGGCACGTTCCAACTCTCTTGAGCTCTGGTTGTGACAGCATCCAAAAGTGTCGAACTTCACACGTGTTTCGCTTTTCCTGACAAACCCCGCTGCAATGATAAAACACAAATGAACTGTTAATGTCACACACACAGACAAGTCAATGAATCGTGCCCTTGCGTATGGGTGTTTGCAATGCAACACGCTTCTCTGTGTGACGATGCATGCGTGGACAAGGCATGGAAGCATTGTAGGTTTCCACAAGTACATGAAAGAACCATGTTGGTAAGACAGCTTCCATTCATTTTGTTTCACCTGAGAACCCTGCCTGCACCCATTGGTTTTGTTATAGGTTCACCCTTTGGCAGCATGATTGCATGTCAAGAGTTTGTGAACATGGAAAACTTGTCTGTCAATGGAACTGTGGCGCCTTTGTCAAGCCGCTGAAGGGCTTGTACTCTGCTTCCACGTCTGCTTGCCACATCTTGTCATTTCCGCAACCACCCTTGGCGAACACAGAGCAGGGGCACGAAATTCATCAACGTAGTTTGCTTCCCCTTGCATTCGATCGCATGGCATGGTCATGCTCTCAACACAGAGAAACATATCTCGTCAACCTGAGGCTTGACAAGCTGCAGATGTTCCAGAATGCGTCTGCGCTTCCGGAGGTCCTTCGGCGCAGGAAGGTCCGGTCCCCTAGCAAGGAAGACTGGCCATGCAGCGCGGCGCATGCGATCGAGTCCGGCCGTCTTTCCTCGTATGTTTCAACCAGACGCACAACCAAAATGCAGGAAGTCAGCAAGTCAGTAAATAGGTTTAATTGGCGAGATGGAAGAACTTGGAACGATTTTTCATAAGGGTTTGGGGCCAACAGGCTCGTGAGCCGAGGTGCTTCGGGTTGGAACCATGTGCTCTGGCACAGATGCTCCCGTGCTGGTGGCTAGGCCTCTCCAACGTCCTCACATCTCTTCGCACTTTGCGCTTCTTATCCAGGGCCTTGGAACGTGCCCTCCGGCCACATGGATCAGAAGTGAGCTTCCAGCATGCTGGGTCCCTAAATGCTCGGACTGGCTTTGCATGGCGGCTCTTGCGCTTGGCAAGGCTTTCTCTGTTGAGTACGATGTGAAAAAGCAGGCCGGGCCATGCCGGGCCTTTCGGGCCCCAAGTGAGGGTGAGCCGAGCCTCGGCAGCTACCTGGAAGGAGTTCTTAAAAGCCAACTTTCCGGAGTGCCCGCTGCTCTTCAAAGACTGCGTGTGAGCTTGGCGTGTTGCAGACAACTCACCGTTCACCTCTGATAAAGCGCTCAGATCTTCATGTAGGCAAATGGGCCGGAAGCGAGCTTGGGAGGCAGGAAGCAGAGATGCAATGGGGCTTTTGGGAATAGAACTTCACTTTTTGCAGAGATTGCAGTAAGGTCCTCTCCGAAAAGCCACAACCAATTCCGGACGATGTGGACATCCTGGTTGCCGGCTTCAGCTGCAAGGCCTCCGGGCTGAACGCTCTGAACGCCTCCCTGTGGCGAAAGCATGAAGTAAGTGGCAAGTCTTGCCTATGCTGGCAGAGGACCTCTCATTAATGAACTCCTACCGGAAAGCGTTGTGTTCTTAGCGGCCCATCGATCAAGCTGCGTTGCTGTCAGATTCAGTGCCGAGGTTGCAGGAAATGGGCCAGTCTGGAGCTACTCTGCGCGGCGTTCTAGATTACGCAGAGACCGCAGTTCCGCTGCAGCCATCAGGGAAATTGAGTGTCAGAGTATGTCAGGCGGAGAGGCACCGACCTCGACTCATTCTGCTGGAGACTCTCTTCGGCAGCAGTTGCAAGTGTCAGCTCGGCGCAGCTTGAAGCGCAACAGGAAGAAACCGAATCGATACTGTTCACATCCTTAACATCTTCACATCTTTTGCGTGTGCACGCGCCCTTGCGTGCGTGCGTGGGAGAGCGTGGGAAGAAACCTGTCGCCGATGCGTGCAAAAGACTGCCTTGACAGGAAGGTGTGAACGACTGAATGCACCAAGGAATGTGTGGGCCATTACAAAGGGCAACAGCGTCGGCTTCAAGCAGGCCTCTCCGTGTTTGTTCCTTAGCTTTTGCCGGACCGACCACTGTTCTTGCATGAGGTGGACTTGGTCATGGAGGGTCTGAAGGCATGCTTGTTTGAATGACGCATTGGCAGATGCCGCCTTCGATGAATCATCGTTTGAAGGCGCGTGGCTACGCTGCTGGGTACCGCCTCCTGAACAGCAGCACAGCTGAAGTGTTGTAGATCTCGTGACTTTCCTGTCCCTGAGTTTCCTTGCCAACTGAGGCTGTGACTATTTCATTCCACAAACCCGACACAGGCTTGCGCTTGATAGCGGTGCAAGAGAACTCCCTAAGCGTGCAGAGTGTCGGCTGCTAGTCCCGGAAGCGCGTAACAGTCCGAAGATGCCCCATGGAGTGCCTTGCAGGATTTGGATGTGGGCAATCCGCTTGTCGGAAAAGCCGCCGCGGACGCAGGAGGAAGCCGAGACCTTTCGGCAGCGTGCCGAAACGCTCAGCCAGAAGGTTCTCCCAGCTGTGCTTCCTGTGCTGCTTGCCAGTGCCTCACGCCTTCGCCTACCGATGGTTTCGTTCGCGCTGCAGTTCGGTTGGTAGAGAGAAAGAGCGCCGCGAGATGAGCCGGGGCATGACGATCGAAGCTGCCTTCGGGGCCCAAGGAAGGTTCGCGGAGGCTAAGGCGGCTAATGGCCAAGGGAAAACACGGCTCATGTGAGCTGAGCATCAGTTTGGCCCGGAAAAGCTCTTGCAGGGACAGGAATCTTTGGAGAGCCTAAGGTGGAGCCGTAAGCACCGACGCGAATGCAAGCCGTTGCTCCTTATGTTCTGCCGGCTGAAAGCAGAGACAGCGGATTTCAATTACTGGAAGTTCGACCGTTTCCTGGCAACCTATCAACGGAAACGTAACAGTGCACCTTTGACTGCTGGTCATCTCCAGCGGGTAGAAATCCTGAGCTTCATTGCCTGCACAGGTGGAACCGCAATTCAATGATATCCTCGTCGCCTTAGAAGAGCCCTGTGCACTTCACTTCGAGGCTAATGCAAGCTGCAAGCTCGTGACTGAGAGTTCTGCTGCTGTCGGCGCTCTGCTCAGGACTACATGCTCGACGACGATCATCCAGCTGCCTGGTGCTCAATGCGAGTCCGCGGCGCTTTGCCTGGCTGTTCGGGCCTGCCTTTTGCCTTCCTGCGGCGTGCCAGGTCCGTGCGCACTTTCAGTTCCTGAAATCGCAGAACCGAGCAGCGCAGGCGCTGTCGTGCATATCCAAAGCTGCTTTTTGTTGAGAATTACGGGAGCCTTGCCATGCTTTTTGCGGCCAGGTCGTCAAGAAAAAGGCCGGGGCAAAGCTGGACTGGACGCAGAAGTACGACACCCACCGAACTGGGCGACTCGCCATACTAGCCGAATTGGGGTCGGAACTTCGCGAGCGTCACTGCGCGGGAAGGCATGACTACCAGTATGACCGACCTTACACGGCTGTTCGTGATGCAGACTTCCTCCAGGTCCACAGCTCTGGCATGGAAGTTCTCAGTGTACTGCAAGCAGAGCGAGTTATGCCTCCACTTGAGTGTTGGCGAGGTCCTGAACGAACGGGAGAAGGAGCTCTTGAACTTGAAATGCTTGGCCCCCGCTTCCTTTGCCTTCCCTCCGTGTTTAGATGCGTACCTGTACGCGTAGGTCTGGATGTCATGAACGAACAGGGCAAGGCCCGCCCAGTTCTCGCTACGCTGACAACCAAGAATGCAAACGGTGAGAAATTGATGCAGGACCCCCGTGCATTCCCCATGCTTTGGGAACTCTCCCAAAGTGTGGAGCGTGTGCCAGGCCCCAGCTTTGCTTTTCTCATGATTGGCCTTTCAGACCATTCTCTGGCTGATGTTGATACGACTGCTCTAGCAGCGATGCCGGTAGGGGGTCATTCCTTCCTCTTCCTGCTTCTCGCCCTCTCTCCGTCCCTCTCCTCTGTGTCTGTGGTGGTTAGAGATCAGATCCCTGAACTCCAAAGAGCTTACGCTGCTTGGCGTCTGCTATTCAGGAGTCAGGATGCGAAGGGACCGACAGAACTACGCGGCCTGCATCCTCCCAGGCCGACGGAAAGATGGTACTGTACTTGCAGCTCAGAGGAAGAGCTGAGTTTTGAAGGTGCTACTGTAGGGACTTTGGGACAGAAACATCCGGTCCTTGCGGCCGTGCTTGTAGCATACCGAGAGAGCGACAAGAGCATTTTAGCAAGTAGCTTGGTTGTGGCAGAATTCCAGGAATTCTTTGGCACTCGAGTCGGAAGCGCTGGGTGCTTGGCATCGAGAAGCTCGCGCTTCAGGGCATCTTTGCGGAGGAAGGGGTCTTTGGTGGTCCTTGGCATTCCTCTACCTTTCCAATGTTCAACTTTCTGATTGAAGATTCGATTTCCGGAGGACCTCAAGGACACGGACTTCCCGCAGAAGTTGCTCGGCAATCTCGCGGGCAATGCCTTCACCACGCTCCCAGCTTAGTATTTCCAGTCAGCCTGATTCTGCAGCAGGCGCCAGGTCAACACACGATGGGTCGGACTCGACACTTGAAAACCCTCCGGTTCGGGCGGATGAGGTCCGTTTGCGCAGCCAACCTGATCGCTCTCCTAACCTGTTCAAGTGAGGTGAGTGCAGAGCTAGATAGCTAGTCTTCGCGAGTCGGGAACGTGCACGTTCGGCGTGCTGCCAGAGGGCAGGCTATCTTGCCCCAATTCGGGATCACAGCAGGGGAATGCTGTGCCGGGATTTGCTGCTGGTGGAGAAGCTCGACTCTATACACGCGCCATGTTTTCTCTTGAGTGCTTACGGCTTGAGCCTTCTGGAGCCACTCTCCACAACGAGCTTGACCTCCTGCAGTTCTGGGAGACTCGACGACTGTCTCGGATAGTCGTGCGAATGACGGATGTCCACGGGGCAATGTAGGTCGAAACTATTCAGCCAACAAATCTAAGAGCTCAGCTCACATTGTCCGGGCAGTCATCCAGCAGATGCCGCGCATCGAAAAAGGCTGCTCCTGCCAGACGACATTGTGACATTGCCCAAGCGTCTAGAAGCCAAAGCCAAGCATGGTTACTTGGTCATTGTTGCTTTCATTCATCTTCGTCACAGGCTGATGATCAGTAGTCATATCGTGAGAGCGCAGCCCCACTGTCCCACGGACCCTCTCCCTGAGCCCCCCCTCACACGATACTCATCTAGGATTCCTTAAGCCCTGCAGCGCCCTGCAGTGGTGCGCGAATGCTTCCGGAGCAATGTCCAAGGAAAGGCCGGGCTCCAAGGAAAGGCTGGGCTCCAAGGAGCCCCGAAGGCGCCTGGGTGGTAGCGAGGTTCAGAGGCTTCCGCGGGACCGCAGCGGGAAGCTGATCACGCCACCGACGACCAGCCCTTCCGCGCACCTTTTCTTTCGCTGGGGAGAAACTCAGAAGACACTCGCCGAGCAGAGCGAGAGGACTTTGCAGCAAATTCGCAGCCAGGGGGAGCTTCAAGACGAGGAGCAGAGCTTCCTCTAAAGGCATGACAGGAGCAAGTGCATTTTTTCGATTTTCTTCATACGTTCTACTCGTTTGCGGGCTTGGGGAGCAGAAGTCGTCAGGAGCCCCCTGAGCTGCTCTGCGAGATCCCCGTGGCGCAGAACCACGTGCTTCGGATGCTGCGGCAGCTTCCTCTGGGCTCCTCCTTCTCGGACTGGGGTCCCAGTGTGGCCGTGTGTGATCAGGTGATCGAGAATCATCGGAGTTGGCTGCGGGCGGGTTGCCGGGTTTTGGAGCTGGGCTGCGGTATCGGCTTGCCGAGCCTCGTCTGTGCGGCCTTGGGCGCTCGTGTGGTGGCCACCGACCTCCCGTCAAACATCGAGGACATGGAGCAGAACAGTGCCGCGAATGGCTGGCCCCAAGCCGTCTGGCGGGTCGTGGGCGGTGGCTCAGAAGGCATCCCAGTGACCAAGGAGCGCGGGGGGAAGATCGAGAAGGAGCGCCTATCTCAGGACGCTTTGGTGGAGGAGCTGGAGCTCAGAAAAGAGTTGAACTTGATGCGCTATCGCCGACTGACAGGTCTAGGTCCCAAGGAGGGCTGGGTTCAACTCGTGCGACCTTATGGCAATCGACCTTTGCTTGTTAAGACCGAGCTACGGCCACCCGCGCAGCGCTCTCATGCTGGTGACTTCGGCCGCGGCACAGTCATCGTCGTTCCTCTGCGATGGGAAGCTCAGGAAGCTCTAAACCTGATGAGGCGGCTGGATGACCTGGAGTCTGCCGCACTGGAGCTCTCAGGTAACGAGCGGGCATTGAAACCCGCGAAGGCTAAGCGAGAAGAAAAGTTGATTCCAAACCAGGTCATTCGGCCAGACGGCTTCCCGAGCCTGGCAGACATCGTGCTATGCTCTGACTGTGTGTGCGAGCCTGCTTACGGCGAAAGCTGGGAAGAGCTTGTTGAGACGATCGAGAGCGTGATGTCTCCCGATGGTATTGCAATCATCTCCTTGAGGCGCCGTAGCTACGACGGGATCGAGCGCTTCGTGCAGCGCCTGGCGCGCAACCTGCGCTTCGAGCGCTACCGGCACCGGAGGTCTGAGGATGCCGGGATCGACCTGATCTGCGCCACCTGGCCCGGGAAGCGGGAGCAGTTTGAGGACTCTGTGGACTCACCTAGGAATCCGCGCGAGACGGAGTTCGCAGCCATGTGCATGTCGACCATGGGGATGGGAAGCCCCGATAGCTAGATCTGGACTTGCGGGAGGGCTGCGTGACTTGCTGTCACGTGGCCGAGTGCTGACGTAAAACGTTCGGTTCCCCATGTTCCCCGACTCACCGACGAGAGGATAAGGAGGACACTCGATGCCCGATGCTGCCAAAGGCATGCTGCGAGGCCAAATCTTTGTACAGATCAGGTGTTCTACGCAACGCTTCCACACCGCTCGGTCCTAGAAGCAGATAAGCGCTACAAGTTCTGTGCTCTCCCGAGTGCCTGTATATGGTCGCTGTAAATGACGCGCAAGCATCGAGCGTTGGGCCCTGTCCATGGAAATTGTGGCTCAGCAGAGTACACGCACCGCATCCGGCATTCTGAGAGGGCTGCTCGCGCAGGTTTGACAGGACCTGCTTGCTGGGCTAGGTCTGTAAAGGAAGAACCTCCCTGGCCGCAGTCTGCGGTCTCTAGGATGGGTCTGCTGAACATCTTGAAGAAGATGAAGAAGGACGAGAGAGAGGCGACTTGTCTGCAAACTTTATGAACCGCATGAGCCACTTGGAAGCTCCAGGCCCGCATCTTGATGCTGGGCTTAGACAACGCGGGCAAGACCACAATCTTGAAGACTTTGCCGGGGTCCCTGCAACTGGTCGATGCTACCCGACACAGGCAGTGACAGAGGTTGTCGCATCCTTGTGAACATCGTTGTCGTACTTGTAGCAACAGCGGAGGCGATGCTGTTGTGAGGAAGTAGTAGTCGTGGTGGTCGGCAGTCGTCCTGGAGATGCTTTCTTCAACTGATCGTCGTCGTCGTCGTTGTTGTTGCTGCTGCTGGTGTTTCTGGTGTTGTTGTTGGTGGTGGCGGTGGCATGCGGTGGGGATTCTGTCGTCTGAATGTACCAGGCAGCAGAAGTGGGAGGAGGAAGAGGAGGAGGAAGAGGAGCAGGAGGAGGAGGAGGAGGAGGAGAAGGAGGAGGAGAAGGAGGAGGAGGAGCAGCAGTAGCAGCGGCAACGGCAGCAGCCAGTATGGAGCGGTAGTCGTCGTCGCCGATGTCGATGTGACAGAGTGGTATTGGCAGTGGTAGGTGTTGTAGTCACTGTGATCGGCATGTGCACCTGCTGGCCGTGGTTCCCGTCACCGTCTTCCAGCTTCTTCTTCTTCTTGTTTGTTCAACTGTTTCGCATTCTGTTCTGGACCCGGAACATGTGTAGCTGCTCGGCCCTACGTAGCCTCGGACATGTACCCTAAACCCCTAAACACTAAACCTTAAGCCCTAAATCCTAAACCCTAAACCCGAAATCCTAAACCTTAAATCCTAAACCCTAAACCTGTGCCTGCTCAGGTCGCAAGAGGACATCAGCCACATCATGCCAACCCAGGCAAGCCCCGAGGGCACTAATTACAGTGACTGAGCCTTAAGCACCTTGATCTGGGCAAGAGCACAGGGTTTCAACATCAAGAGCCTGGTGCAAGACGGCCCCAGCCGCAGGACTTGGCTTCGTTTTCACTTTGCGTGGACCAGTTGCACCTAGGTTTCAAATTGAACGTGTGGGACATTGGTGGCCAGAAGACCATTCGCCCGTGGGCCTCTTTGTGTGTCTGACGGATGATTGTCTTCGTTTTCCACCTTGTATCTACTGCATTGTGGCTGTGACCGGCCTGGCCGAACAGGTACTGGAGCAACTATTTCGAGTCCTCAGATGCACTGGTCTACGTGATTGACAGTGCATCTCTCAGAAAAACATCCCTGGTCGTCCAAGGCAGGTGACAGAAGCTTCCGCATCAAGCCGAGGTTCTGACCGGAGACGGCTTGAGGAGAGCGGACAGGCCGTGCTTCAGCGAGCCGTTGATTACTGCTTTTTTCAGTAGTGGCCTTTGCGTCTCGCATCCTCCAGGAACTGCGTGAGCTTCTTGCTGAAGACAAGCCCGTCACTGAGCACGGAGAGTGTGTTTGCTTGCGTAATGCTTGCTCTTCGTCGTACTGTTGTTGCAGCAGGGTGCGTTCAACGGTTTGTACCGTAGGCTTGGAGGAATTCCTTTGCTGGTGTTTGCCAATAAGCAGGATCTTCTTCAGGCCTGGCATGTCGTAGCTGATCACGCCACCTCGTTGTGACTGCATCACGTGGGAGGCGACTCCAGCCGATGAGATCGCGGCAGCACTCGATTTGGCACGCTGGGATGGAGTCGGTCCGCTTGATAGCTGGTGCATGGAGCATCAACTTACCAGGCCAGCATCTCTGACCGTACTTGGACGATCCAGGCAGGTTCAGACTCAAAGCGTGTGCCTTGCGTTCACTTTAGCAACGTTTGGCACAGAGTTGCTCGGCAAGGCGTGCAGTGCAAAGGACGGAAGTGGATTGGAGGATGGCATGCAGTGGTTGATTGGTGTGATCAACGAGAAGGCTTGTCATTCCGCCATTCCGCCAAATCGCGCTCAACAAGTCTCGGACGCTGATCAATCTCTTTGGCAGGCGTGAGATCGAACTTTGCCCTTCAAATCCCGGTGAGAGAAGGTCTATAGAGAGAAGCCCGCTTCAACCATTTTGAGAGTTGCAGCTCGCAAGCGTTTCACTGCATGTGCAGATTGCAGCTTGACCTTGTCAGCTGATTCCGGAAACTCCCGACATCTTGATCTGTGAGATTAGTGATATGTGCTGCTAAGTGCATAGGACGGCGTTCGGAAAGGTACCTGGGGATGGCTGACTGCACGAATAGCACACGTGAGCACTAAAAAGCATCTTGCTGTAGCGATCTTTCGCGAGCCAATCGCACCTTGACAAACACCGGCCACTACTTGAGACTGAGTGCAAAAAGAGCAAGCTCGTCCCTGCACACCACGGCATATAGACTTTGAGTGAGATTGCTACCCTTTCGTTAAAGATTTGCTAGTCCATCTACCTACCCTGAGATCGCATCGGCAATTGTATCGAACATCGTTCCAATGGCTTGTTTCGTTCAGACTGCTTGCTTGCTCGCGGCTGCGCGGCCAAGATTCTTGGTGTGGCCGTGTTACCCTTCCCTCGCCTTCTCTCCCTCTGGCTTTCGTCCCCGTCATCATCACCATGCCATGCGACTATCATCCCGAAGCCATCATCAACAACCATCATCACTTTTGTCATCATCGTCGGCAGCGTCATAATCGACATAATCGTCATCGGAGCCGTTGTCATCGGCGTGACATTGTCAGATTTACACTTGCTGGTATCATCATCATCATCATCATCATCATCATCTTTGCTGCCTCATCTTTCGAGGTTCGGAAGCGTGGGTCATGACCTTGACTACATGCCTGCTTGTTTGCATGATCATGTTCGCCAGCCGCACATTCAGAATTGCAGTGCCAGAACTGTCAATTATCGTGACTGTAGAGCCTTCAAATTCTGCCAGCCATGTGTCGTGTCCAGCTTGTAATGTGCTGCCAGTCCGAATGCCCGGCAGGTTGCAGTGAAGAACAAAGAATGCGCGATTGCACGTCGGAAACAGGCTTCTGAGAACACACAAATCCGGAAGGCTTTCTGGCGAGGACTTCTTTCCACGTGAGGCCAAATCCGAACCTTTACGCGCACAGACTCTGTTGTCGGAAATCCTGTAGGTCCAAGCCAGTGTTGCAAACCTCGCGCGCAGACAGCAGCGAGTCGAGGAAATGAGCTTCTGCTTGCAGATGCACTGTTGCACAGGCTGTGCTGTAATGAAATGAGGAGGCCGGCTTGTTGGCTTGAATCAAAAGTGTGTGCCAGATACCGCCGCGCATACGCATCTGCCATTTTGGCTGGTATGGGAGTGTGGAGAAGAACCGCATATGGAGGCACCACCTAGGCCTGGCGTTCTTGTGCACCACAAGGGTCAGTCTTCAGATGAGAGGTTAGTTTCATGCAGCCAGAAAGTCACAGGCGTATTTCTTGAAGTGAGCATGAATTGGAGCATGAATTGCGTGTAGACTTTGGAGAGTGTGCGTGCCGAACACAACACAGAATGGAAGAGAGCAGACGAAAGGCCATTAGCCCCCCCCAAAGAAATCCAAGCAGTAGATTCGAACCACTTTTAAGGTGCATTGTTGTGCAAGCAAGCGGCAGTGCACGCGCAAGCGCTTATCATGCGGGAGACTTGGGGGCATCTGCAGGTGCCGGGCGGCCGGCTTACCAGCCCCCCTTAAGAGGTTCTTGATGAAACAAACTTAAACCAAAACAGAGGTGTTGAGACCGGCGTGGGGGCTGTCTGCGCTTGCGCACATGTTTTTGCTGATCAACATCTCCAGTTTCTCTTGTCAGCAGCTGGGCTTCCTGAAGCGCCTCGTCTCAAAGCAGATCATTGACAATCTTTTTCTTGTGCTTCTTCCTGACTTCGGGGCATTTCTTTGGATTCCACAGGCAATGCCAATGCAAGTATCCGTACCAGCAGTACGTTTTCGGCAGTACGATTCGGGCAGGCCCTCAAACGAAAGTGACTTTCTGAGGGTGTCGTTTGCGTCCTGTGAAGCTCCAGCGCGGAGCTCGGCTTGTAGCGCCATGGGGGGACTATGCAGCGCGGAGGAGGTCTGCCCTCGAAAGCATGAAAGCGCTAGCAGACAGTAGCTGACATTGTGCCAATACGGAGAGCACTTTCTGGGCAGGATTCGGATGTGGAGGAGGAGGAGGAGGAGGCGGAAGAAGAGGAGGAGGCGGGTGTGGTTGAGTTGCTGCCTGTTTTGCACGGTTTGTTCTTGAAATAAGTTTGGAAGGACCTTCAAGTCGCTTTGGGGAAGGCAGTGGCATGATGAGCAGATCTTGTATCAAAACGTGCAAGGTTTTTGTGATTTCGCTGGAGGCACAGCTGCAAGACCTCGACAAGATGCCTTTCGTCGCACATAAAGCCTTCCTTTGCTTTTGAAACGGGCTCGGTGATCTTTTCTGAGGTCGGTTCAGCAGATTCCAAACCCAGCTGCCGTTGCAAAAGTTCTTCCAACCAGGACAGCTCTGAAGCTCTGGCTGGCCCATGGTGTCAGCAATCAGGGCAGGTCAAGCGAGATGCCTTTCATGTTCAGCAATCTACAGGATGCTTCCGCTATACGTGCCGGCAGCCAAGAAGGAGGCGAGAAAGCTTCGTGGGGCCATTCGTCGGTTGCAGCGGCAGTTGGTTTCCAGAAGACTATGGTGAATGCCTGGCTTTTGCTGTGACAGGCTGGCCACTGGAAAGAGGATGGACCAGCTTACATAGGCTTACATGTTTGGTCTGCAGTGCCTCATTGTCCTGCTTGAAGGAGAAACTGTGGTCGCGCGCACGTGAGGCGAAAGGTCTGGCCGCAGCCTCGACCGAACAAAAGCTGGCAGTTGGCAGGAGGTGATCCTTCAATCCACGGAATGACGTTGAGCGATGTGTCAGGATGCTCTGAAAGAGCGGTCAACACCCTCGTTAGATTCTCAGCGAGCTGACAGCAGCATCATCAGAATTGCACATTCACGGCACGAGGCCACCAGATGGTGCTCCATCATGGAAGGCTGCTGCGCTGAGAAACTTGAAAAGGCTGGATGAGTCTGCCATGTTCTCAGCGTCATTCTGTCACCGAACGCCTTCAATCATGAGAGCAAAGAGCTTATGTTCTGCAGAGACATGCAGAAAGTTTAGGCATGCCGTACATGGCCGTGGCAAGATGTAGCAAGGTGATCCTTCACAACGGCGTCGTGTGCCGTCTGAAGGCGTGCCAGCTTGGAAACAATCCAGCATCTCGCTGCTCCTTAAGACTCGGCATGGTGTGAGCATGTGGCGAATTGTAGCAGTGTAGCAGCGCAGCAATCTACGACAGCGGTTTTGCTTGAATTGGAGCGCCCTTCCAGGAAAGCACCATGGAGGAATGGGTGGAGGAATGGGAAAATCGCCCGCAGCAATCTCACAGCGCTGGCGGCAGAGGGCGGGAATGTTCGCTGCTTTATCTCCATTGACGCTGAGGCCACCCAAAGGGTTTTCATCATGGAAGGCCAGGCATGACAGGTGCTGCCGCGATATCTTTCCTGGAACCGTATAGCATGGGAGGCGGCCGCGGAGGAACAACTCCGACGCATGCAAGAAACAGTGGCTGTCTCGGAAATCATTGCAAACATGAAGCCCGCGAAGCGAACAAAAGCCTCCCACAAGTTTTCATCGCAGGCCTCTCCCAAGAATAAACACATAGGTTAGCAATTTCTATTCTCAGATCCAAGTTGTGATCGGTTCAAAAGCAGCTTTGCGACCCTGCTCAGGTCGTATACAGGAGAAAGTCTTCATCCTCTGCATGATGCCGTCCTTTAACTCACTGAATCGCGGAAACTCCTTTATGGGACCTCCAGGGCGTTGCATGCTGGGGCGCCGTTGCGCGGTGCTGCTGCGACCACCGCCCTAAGAATGGCAGTCGCTGAGAATTTCACATCCAACGAGATGGCACCGGTCGGATGGCGGCAACTGGCCGGACCTGCCGATCTGGCCTTAACTACTCCAATCCCGGCAGCCCTAAGCCTAAACCAGCCCACACCCAATGGCAGAGCAAGCGAAAACCCAGACCGGCTCAGCCTCTGCCAGTCCTAGCAACTTAGCGGTGGGCCAGTGGTGATTTCACTGTCTTGCGATCATATCCCATGCTGATGAACATAAAATACTCATGGCCCATAAGCGTCACGAACGGAGATTGTTTAAGCACCAGCCTGGCCATGGCAAATGTGGCAATCGCAACAGCGATGCCTCTCCAAGCTAGAACCCCGCATCTCACTACCATGCGGAGTTCGTCCGTAACGGAAGGCGGTAAGGCGCCGCCTCGGAAGCTGAAATTGAAAAGAAGTTTGCCGAGGCGATCTGATCATTTTTCGGTCATCCGAGTCGTCTCGTTCGGTCTTCGAGGTCGTGACTCCTCCAACTGCCATCGCGGCTCGAGAGACATACCGACACCTAGGGGCACCTACTTCCGGTGCGGAGCCATGCAGCCCGGTTCCCAGTCACTCTTGGCAGTGGGTTGCAGCAACAACTGCACATCATCCCGAGGTGGGCGCCACCGCTGCGGCCGTCCACACATCAAGCCGCATGCCTCGGGATCCTGTTGCGGTTGTTGCCGACTAGCTAGCTACTGCAGCGCACTTCCTTTCACAGCAGATCAGCGAGCCCTGGCCATTTCCAAGCCAAGGCCGCGCCCATGACCGTGAGCCCTCCACAGATGTGCCGTCATCATGCACCCAGTCCCACATGTAACGTGGCGGCCCCACAGCACTTGTGTTCGGGGGCCATGGCGCAGCCGATGATACATTACGGAGGCCGATGTCCCAAGCGAAAGATGTTGCAAGCGTCCGTCCTGCCTCTCCGAAGCCTCCAGGACGAGCCACACAGCAGCCATTGCCAGGAATGCCTTTCAAGCTTCTTGGCGGGTTTGTTAATTCGAAGTTGTGCGCAAGCTTGGCTACGTTTTCCTTTTCGCCTTTGGCCTGCAAGGCCGATCCCCGTCGCGATCACTGCCGATTCCACGCGGTCATCTGGAGTCGCTGGTCACTCGGTTTTTTTAAATCGGCGCGCAGGGACCGCAAAGTGTAATTAATTACTAAATTATGTATTTCCTGCTGGATTTAATCTTACATTTGCTATGCTATCATCAGTGGTAGCATAACAGTTTGTTTGCTTTCGTTTCATCGCTATGTAATTTGTTTGATGTCTGAATACTGCCCTTTCTTGGTCTGTTTCCGTTGCAATACTGATGAAAGAGTTGTTAGATGTTAAAGATGATTGAATAAGTGTTGGGGCTGATATGTCAGTGACTGGTGTATCTAGTTTTATCTGTGAATGTTGATTTGTCTTCCTTGAAGGTTAAGAAGCTATCAACTTGTGTATTTGTGTATCCACCACGTGCTCCGACTAATCCATCTACTTCTGTTTTTGTGAAAATGCAATTGTTAGTGTATGTTTTCGGGTAAAATCCATTATCAACAATTGTTGAGGTATAAAACTTTCCTAATGTTGTATCAGTTCGTGTTGATGCTTTGATGATTGCCTAATGTTGTGTCAGTTTCTGTTTTATTACAGAGAATCTGTTGCTAGTTGACTATTTGCTTGACAATTGCTACCAGTAGTTCAGTTTGTAATGTATATCAGTATTGCCTGCGACATTTTGTACTTGTTTTGTGTTTAAGACTGATATGGCATTTGGACTCGTAGCTATATCCGGTGTGTTTGTATCTATTGAAGTGATATACGAGAAGATAATGTATTGATATGTGCTATGACTTTTGGAAATTGAATGTGCTAGACTATCATCCATATCTTTTTGTGAAATACCACCGCTATTCGTTTTGCATAGTCTAGTGTTGCGTTTCAACCACTTAAACTCGTTTCATTTGTTAGGGTGATTTCATTTGCGTTTATGGTATTCACACATTTCTTAAGTGTTGCCCATGTTTAATAAATCAGATAACATGTAGTTAGTATTGAGGAATCTTACGTTGATTAGTCCTTTGCTTGTTGACGTTTCCTTGTTTCCTTCGTCATGGCTTTGTATCATTTCTTAAAATAGCTAGAACGCAGTCCAGAATTTAGTCGAATACCGTTGAGGCACTTTTATTCAGTTCAAATATTGGTTCTGACACGATAGTATCAACAACTCTCTCGATGCCTAGTGCAAAACATGCGTTGGCTCCTTTGTTTTCAAAAGTGATTAGGAAGCCCATCGTAGGTATTCGAGCCGGTGAAATTCCTACCTGGTTGCTTATCGAGTTTTATTCCTCCAATGAACTTACCGTTAGCGTGTCTATGAATCTTTACATGTTAATCGCAAAGTCATCATAATAAAAGCCCGTACATCAACAGCACGACGAAGAAAATACATAAGCTCTGCGATACTTGATATGTCTTTTTTCTGGAAATTTCTGATTAGCATCTTGATTCTGTGCTGAGATTTGTTTATCCGAGTCAATGACACCCTCTAAACTATCATTGGTTACCGCCATAGGATGGAAGAAGCAATCCCATCTCTTGTTGTCATAATCACCTGCTTTAGTGGCATCGTTGATAGTACTGTTACCAGGTGAGGCAACACATCTGGGACAAACGAGTTGAAGATTTAACAATATTCATGCCGATTTCTGTGTTTCCTGCCGTGAAGGTTTGTGAAGTGAATGGTATGCTGGATAAACCATTCTAAGCCGACCACCTTCTTTACAAATGAGACACGGTACTGCTGAGTGCATTATCGGCCCACGATGTGGTGGCATTACGAGCTGTAAGGGATAATCCGTTTACATCGTCTGCGGCTTGAGTTCCTGCTACTGGCGTGGGTGGTTTTATTTCAACAATACATTCTAAAGGACAATATCGAATTGGCAGATAATACCCTGACTATCCCTGACTGCACAAAGCCGCAACTAGGTTTATGACCCATGCTTGCAAACTTACCCTGTTCAATTCCAGTTGTGTTTGCTCTGGTTAGTCTCGGTAGAACAACACCTTGCTCATTTCCTCCAACGTTTGCAGTGGCATCATGTCCTTCAGTCGTATAAGCAAGCAGTCTTGAGAAATTTACCTGACTTTCGGAAGCCGTGTTGACAGTCCTCATGTTGCAGTTGCATGTCATGTGCAGTTTTTAAAGACGCATTCGCCGTAGACGTCTTGGGCTCCATTGGAAAAAGGCTTCTTCGTGTGGTTGGACACTCACCAACAGCGTTTCTGCTTCTAACTGGTAGCGGAGCTGTGAGGACAACCACTAGGTTTCACCCCCGTGAGCCGTAGTGTCCGGGGACCGTTGTGGGTAGAGTAGTGATAGTCGTGGAGCAAAGGCCCCTTCTATCTGAAGCCATGAGCGTGGCTGGTTTGCGTTACAGCCCCAATCTCTGGTCACAGAACCTGGCCCTGCTGAAACCAAAAGTGGCTCGTACATATACGACGGGTCTGCTGCCGGCTTCCATGATTGGCAGTTCCGGACACAGATCCGCGTTCTCCAGCATAAGGAGAAGCAGCGAAGGGAAGCTTTGAAGGACCTGCGCTTTGCGGAGTCCGCCAGGTCGAAAAGCGAATCCCCTAGAAAGTGGCGAGGCAGGGCCAGTCAGGCGACCAGTGCACGCCCCACAGAGGGTGATGCGAGCAGCGGTATACCCGCCAGTCCGTCAAGCGCAAGGCGGACTAAGCCCGTGTCCGATGTGGAAGATGAGGACTCGGAGTCGTTGCCGTCACACCCCAGTCAAGTGACAGGCGAAGATGACTTGGAGCCGGACACAGATCCGGCGGTGTACACGTTGCAAGACGTCAAGGACGAATCGCTGGATATGAGCGAGTGCGTTAGCAAAGTCTTGGAAGGACTCCGAGGCGACGCTTTCAGCATTGCTCGTGACGTCGGCTTGGAGCGATTGCTTCGTCATGATGGCGTCGACCATCTGATCGAAGAGATCAGGAGGCAAGCCTTCCCTCTTCAATCTGAAGAGGCGTCAGAACTTTTCCGTCAGGGACAGCTCCTGACGGGACCACTTGCAAAGCAATCTGGCGAGCCTATGTTGTCGTACATAGCCCGCCGAAAGCGGTGGTGGTCGACCTTGCAGGAGCTGGATTCCGATATCCGCCTCTCCGAGGCGATGAGAGCAAACCTTTTGGTTGAGCTTTCGGGATTGGAGAGATCCGAACAGCTAATGGTCAAGACCGCTGCCCGCGCGCATACCGTGGAGGAGTACGCACGCGTCCTTGTTCAGCACCACTCGGTAGTGCACATGAAAGAACGCCTTCTGACACAGAAGGATTCCAACGCCACAGGTCGAGTTTGGAAACGCTTCGATGCTAAGCCTCAGTACCCTAGGTTCGGTTACATGGGGTATGATGGCAGCGCCGTTGAGCTAGACCACCAGGAACAGTACGAATCCGCGGAAGGCTATGGTGATGGCTACGGTGACGAAGCGTGCCAGGCCACAGTGTCTGGGGGTGGTGGTGATGCTGATGAATGGATCGATGA